TTCCACTTGGCACCCATCCATGGCGGCTCACAAAGCGTTCAAACTTGAAGATGGAATATAAAGGCATTAAGATTTTGTTTGTCTTGTCATTCAAATATATTAAAATCCTACAATACCAAACAACCTTGTAAAGCGACGACATTGCCAATGGGCAGTGGTTGTGACAATATCTTGGCTGCGTTCTAAGGGAAAAAGACCCATGCTACTATAACTTTTGCAAACAACCTCTTAAGATGAGACAAAACAAAACTTTCTTGCCACAACCATCAATTCTCTTTTAGTCTTTATCCTCCTCGTGTGTTTCGCTCGCCTTCGTCCGGCACTACTACTAGCCTTATCAAGGGCCCCTTTGTCTTGCACGCATGCCAAACCCCTAGTCTTTTCTTACTAAAACATGCTTCCCATCAATGCTTTATCGGCATTAATGGCGATGCTCCTAATTTCTCTCAAGTTTACACTGATTAGGATTGCTAAGCTTAGAAACTTATTTCGTTAAAATTTTAATTTGAACTTTTTACCACTCTACAAAATATCACTAGTGAGTTAATGAAAGTAAATTTCACATTATCAATTTCATGACTTTTGTGTAATATTCCATATTCATTGAATTTGAGATCTTTTAAAAACAGTCTAAATACATTCATTCTATCTATTGCTATTAAAATTCTACATAATTTGTCGCCTCAAATCTATATAGACATTAATGTTAGAGAATGTTTATTAGATAAAACCTTATCAACAATAAATTTGAATATTGTGGAAGGATCAAATACTTAGCCTAGGTACTCTGCCTTGCCAACATATTTAATTTCTGCACAAATCTCTCATGCTTTTGGTGCAGCAGCCCCAACAATCTGATAACTATTTTATCTCCTAAGATTTTGTCTTGTAATAGCTCTCCCTTATATTTAGGGCTTTTTGAAAAAATGTCAAAAGAATTTGTATAGCTTTGTTTATATATCTAGGTTGTAAATTCTAAAGTTAATGCAACCAATATTATTCAGTTTATTGGATCTTATTATGATATCAAAGCCTTATCTCTACTAAACTTCTTTTTTCTTTTTCTTTTTTTACGACTCATACTCTAAAATAACTTTTAATTCATCTACTGATAGCTCATTGATTGCTGCTGCATCCTTCCAATCCTACCAAAAATTTAATAACAATTACTGTTGCTGATCAGTTGCCTCTCAAACTCATGTCACTTAATTATTTTTCATGAAAGGCTCAGTTTAATGCTCTCTTATTCGGTTTGGATCTTCTTGGGTATCTTGTTGGCACAGTTGGCATCCCTTGCATGGTGGCTTACATCACAAAGCGTTGAAACTTGAACATGTTAAAAAGGACAACTAGATTTTTCTAAATATCACACATGTCGAACAATATTTTTATTATTAGTTATATTCTTTTACATTTTTACAATATATATAACTTATATTTTGATAACTAAACCCATAACTTTTATGCTTTATTTATATGGATAATACACATTTTTATTTTTAAATTAATTAAAAATATTTAACTCCTTTTTTTTGAAGTGATTTAACTCTTTTTTTATATAAATAAAATTTTAAAATTAAACATAAATTTTAAAACATAGTTTTCTGGATGGAAGTGATTAAATGATCAACTTGATCTGAAATTTTAGGTATATGATCAGTAGAAATTGATTATTAAGTCTAACAACTATAATTTTTTAAAATCCTACCAAATAACCTTGTGACAGGGACAATACCAATGGTTGTGACACAGAGCAACAACTTTAGCCACCATCACTTTCTGTAAATAATATATAAGATCTTCATAAAACAAAAAAAAGACATCTACATGTAAATAATACAATCACAATTAAATAACCATAATAATGAAATTAATTCACGAAAGAAATCTTAGACAAATAAAAAAAAACTTATGTAAAGTTCAGCTCAATCCATATAGGATGACACTTGAACATTTTAAGGTTTTTTGCTTGCCATTCAGACCCAATTCTAAAGAAGAAAAGTTTATAAATATTAAA